TAATAAGATTATCCAATTTTGTATTCTAGGTTGCTATCATAGATGTTATGCTTTATAAATTGGAGGTTTATAAACTAAATTTTGCCTGTCACTTTGGTAAAAGAATAATTATTTGTTATTAGTGATTATTTCCTGTATTTGCATTTGTGTTTTAGTTACTTTATTACCTTGATACAATAAAATTTGTATCTTTTAAAATTGCCCTTTCTGTTGATACTTTTGAGCTACTTGGTTTTAATGATTTTTTTTCTTTGAAGTAGACATTTAAATACATAACAATTGTAAAACAACAGTTTGACTTTTTTTCTAATTGTAATCTATTTTCATTCTTTAGAATTCTAATTTACATGTATGATATGTTCAGGCTGATGAAGGATGGGTTACTAAATGAATTAGTAGAATAAAAATTATAAAGCGTTTAACTGCTTAACACATTTAAAATGTCACACTTTTTAAACTGTTTCAGCAAGTGTGTACAAATGTTATGACTATGATTTTTGTGGTAACATACACTACATGTCTTTTCCACAGTTAATATTATAGAATACTCATTTATAATTTTTATCACATTGTATATGTTTTTGCATTCATGAATTTGTATTTAGCAAACATGTTAAGCTTTCTAACAAAGAAAAGTAAAAGGTTATGTCTTATTAAGAATTTTGTATAATACACAATTAAAAAATAGTAAACATGGTAGCTGTATTTTCCGAAGAAATAGAGTCTGTGTATTTCTGACTGTTGCTTTTTTTTTTTTTTACCACAGTAAATCAAGAGGAGTTCATTGCTATTATGACTGGTGACATTTAAAGAATTCCAAGGATAAACACTAAGAATATTGCAGTTACCATCTTAAATTCTATTTTTGTGCCTGGAGCCATGTTAAAAAAGAAGCCAGCTTAGTTCTTTTTTTCCAGAAGGACCAAAACTGAACATCTTCTGTGTTTGTGTTTGTGACTGTTAAGTTTCTTCGTATGAACAGTGTTGTTAGTATTGAAATAGCTTAGCTTTGTATTTATAATATGGGTTTTATATAAAGTTTTTGAAAACCTAGTCATGTGGTTATGTATCTTTTGGAGGTTTTTTATTTAACATTATTAGCCCTCTCTTTTATTTTGGTGTATACATTTTTCAGACTTTCATTAGTCAAATGCTTATTTTAATAGTATCTTATTAAAGTTTGATACATTTCTTGTTTTATTTTGATTTCTAGTATCTGTTATCCTTCAATAAAATAATTTCTGAAACCTTTTCTTTATACACTTTTACTAGTTTTAAAACAAAAACTAAAACACAAATTGTAGTAGAATAGCACGGTTTTTCATTACCTACAATTTTATCAAGTTTTACATTCTATGCTTCAGTATAAAATGACTCAATGTGAGCCTAATTCCTTTTCTAAGAGTTATGTTTTTCAGGTTGGAGGGATTAAGCATTGTGCATATAGGTCCACTTATCCTTGCTTGTTTTAGAACTCGTAGGTATGATAGTTAAATCTGAGTATTTCCTCAGATGAATACAGTTTGATTCATTAACTTCTTGACAAAGTGAAAGATGTAAACTTTGAAATTTTGATCTGTTAAAAGTGATGAAAGTAGAAAATACTAAGCTACAGAAATAACTTAAGGCTGTGTTTTACCCATATAAAGGAACATTTTGTGATTCCCCAGGAAATGGTTGAGATAGACTTTCCAGGTGTTGGCGATCTCTTCTGCAGGGGGAAGTGTTTACTGGGAGGGAAATAACTGATCATAGAAGCCAGGTCATGGAAAAATGGAATCGACATCAGTCCCTCACTAATAATACCATTCCTGGTGATGCAGACCCTCAAGAGGAAAGTTCTCCCATCCCAGTACTCACCAGACCTAACCCTGCTTAGTTTCCAAGATCAGATGAGATCAGGTGGATTCAGGGTGGTATGGCCTTAGACCGCAGAAAGAAAGTTGTTGATTTTAGTGATCTTTCTTTAGGCTCCTTATTTTAAAGTTAACATAACTTGAGGCACTTAAATCCTGTGAGTCTCCTAGAGTGTTATATTAAGAGTTATCTACTAGAAACTTAACAGAAAATCAGTAGGGATTGATAGAACTGGTGGTATTTCAAAGTTACTGCAAAAGCAAGTTAGTTGTTCATCTACAGTAAAACTTAATTTTAGTATGAAATCAGTGCTCACAATAGTAACTGTTTGGAGCAGCAAATTGACACTGAAGCTTAGAAGTTTTTTATTACTCTTACTGATGAATTGCCCTCTGTGTCTAGATCATGAAATATATTGATTTCTAGGAAAGAGAAGAGTAAAGTAAAAGTAAATCTTGGCTTGCTAATCTACCACTTTATTGGAACAATAACTCAAGCTACTTTTTTGCCACCTACAGAGATACTCTCTTTATTTTTAATATAAACACTTTCTCCTTAGGATGTCAGTAGTTTTATTCTGCTCTAAACTGAGTTAGGAAGAGTCCTCACCTCGGCCCTGCGTGTTGTGGAACGTTTGTATTGCAGGAGGATGTGAACTACTCTCAGGTCATTTCCTAGTGTTAATCATCAGTAACAGTGGTGTTGAAAGCTGGTAAATCTGGCTAGAAGTGGAAATACGAAGAAAGGAGTGAATTTCCTATAAGGGGGGTATTGTCATATTTATCATGCAGTGCTATTTCATGATGAGGGAAAATGTGCATTTGCCTAGTACGTTGCTGCTCTGATGTCCTGGTGAGCTTTGCCTACTTGAGGTTTGTCAACTAAGTTTTTGTCCTTCCCCTGTTATAAGCAGTAGAACCTAAAGAAGCTACGTGCTTACTGCAGCCCTTAAGGTTTATATATAGTCTGGTGGGTAGTAGTAGGGATGGGGAAGGAATTGAAAACAGTTTTGTTAAGCATTTAGTATATGGTACTACAAGAGATAATAAGGAAAACCAAAAGTTATTCCTGCTCTTCCAGTCAGTACTTCGTGGGACCAACTAGTATTGTATAATCAACTTGGTTCCACCCCAACTCCAGGACATACTGTCATATCCCAGAGATGTAAATCCTCCCACTTTAGATGTAAATCGTAAAGCAGATTGTGGCCCATGCTTGGAGAGCCCCAAATCTGCCTCCCTCTCTGTGGGTTCCATTAATCTGCCAGAGTGGTTCTCAGAACTCGGAAACCCTTTTATTTATAAGCGTGATATAAAGGATATTGCAAAGCGTGCAAATGACTGGCCAGATGAAGAGAGAAGAAGGGCAGAGTGTAGGGGAAAGGTGAGGAGCTTCCAGCCCTCCTAGTCACACCGCCCTCCAGGGACTTGCGTCTTCAACAATTCAGAAGCTCTCTGAACCCCATCAGTTTGGGTTTTTATGTAGGTGCTGTTGATGACACCATTAGCCATTGGTGATAAAGTTAACCTTCAGTCCCAGACCCTTCCTGGAGGTGGTGGGACGTAACTTCTGACCCTCTAGTCACAGGGATGGTTTTAGTAGTGCTGCCGTTGGAACGAAGAGCTGTTGCTCTGGGGATGCTGGTGGGAACAAATGTACAGGACCCCCCCCCCCCATCTTCTCTGTCTCCTAGTCATATTGGTGAAGTCTCACTGAAATTCAGCAGGCAAAGAGTAGTTTTCATAGCCACAGCCCTAATATTACATATTGGAACGTAGGATGGAGTTTTGGTGTTAGGGGGCAGGAGAGAGAGGCTCTATTCCAGCATAGCTGACCATATCTTTCATGATTACTTTTTTTTCACAGTTACTTTTGACAGCGAAGGGACTTGAGGGAGGGGAGCTGGTATTTACGCTGGGGCAACAGGTGTAAATAAACCTTCAAGGCAAATGAGCATACTGGATCAGATGATCCCTCAATCTCTGTAGTATTCCACTTTGGGAATAGCAATAGGAAAGTTATATATTTTAATCTGAATCTTCTGGGGTAGATCCTTTTTGATTGCTGTACCACACAAGAAAACTCACTGGGAGGACATGAAGTATTCACAGTAACAGGCAGTGACTGAATTGGATGCTGATCCCAAGATTTCTTACTATAGTTAGGGGTCTACTCATAACTGCTACATGTTACTTTCTTCTTACAATAATTTTAGAGACTCTCAAGGCATGGTGGATCAGAATTTTAAGACCACAAAACATAAAAGAGAATTTGGAACTCAAAACTAGGCCGCAAAGACATTTATTAAGCACTTATGCTAATCAGCGTGCCCTTGCATTATGTAGTATTCCATGGGAGTTAGTGTTTGGTTTCAGACCTCTTGACACTTAGAGTCAGACTATGCTTTTCTAGTCACAGAGGCAGAGTTGAAAAGTAGACGAGTTTAGAAGAGAGTGTGTTAAAAATGCAGTGTTAAGCTAATGCTCATTGATAAATTGCCTCTTGTTGAATAGTAAAGGGAAGTCTTTCATTTGGAGGATAAAATTTAGGGAAATATTTTTTCCCTGTTAATCTTTGTAGAGATGATTGTAGGAGTTGCTTGAAAGGAAAGGAAATGGGTTTAGGAGAATGGCTGGTAAAAGGTGCATGGGAAGAGGCCTTGGAAACATTAAGACAGGAGGGAGCAAGGTTCATGGGCCTAAACCTGACAGCTAAAACAAAGCTCTGGTCACAGTGGAGGTGCAGTAGTTAAAGGGGTGGGGGCCAGCACGACTCACTTTAATAGGGTTAGGAGTTGCTCAGAATTTGGGTGGCGAGGAGGGAATCTCAGAATGACTGGCAGTCATCCAGGGCTGACGCTTAGTTAAACCTTGGGAGATCACAGACAAAATAGACCCCTCTCCTGGAATAGGTTTTTAGTTGGAATAGGTAATTTATTTATATTTCCTATTCTGAATTCAGTAAATCCTATGGTTGAAGTATTCATTGAAAACTTAAGCCTAAATAGTATGAAAAATTGCCAAGGAAAACCTAAAAGTAGTAAAACTGAGTCTGATGTATTTGACATATGCTTATGTTAAACTTATCTCCATGAGGTGTATTCTAAATATGAGGTGTAATTGCAATATTATCTAATTGCCTACAAAAATCCAAAATATCTTTTTCGTTAAAACTTTGGAAACCTATATGTTTTATGGTATTCTGAGACTATGTAAAATATTTTTTTCATTAAATGATTTTAGGAAGATTACTGACATTTTAAAGGAATCAAAGATCAGCAGGGTTACCTCCACTTTGTATTTAATTAAAAATATTTAAAAATAGATTTTCTTTATTCCATAATAAAAGAAATCAGGGATACTTAATAGAATCCCTGGAGTCTGACATTTCTGATTTTAATATGCTCGTAACATTTGTCCAACGCACCACTGTGTTCTTTGAAAAGAGCGATCATTTTCTCTGTATGGCATTACCCTAGACTGCCTGTCCCCAGGGTCTTCCAAAAGGTCCGTGTAAGCCTGACAGCAAGGAAACACGAGTTGTTATAGAACATAAATACTGGTGACTTACTGACGAAAGCCTACTTCGGATGGATGGCTCTTTCGAGTAAAAATCACTCCATCTACATCAACTAAAGGCTAAGTGTTAAAAATATTTCCAAATCGTGTTTCCCACCATTGAGGACCTCTTTAAATTTAACAGCAGGTTAAAGGTTTGTGTGTGGCCTGCTGAGAAGCAATCTTTCATTATGAAACAAGAATTTAGATTGTTTTAAAAGTTCATGCACCAAACAGGTACAGGTGGATGTAACCAGTAGATGTAGGTCTTTAAGCAAGACCTATAATTCCTTTTTCATTTTCTATTAAAAATGTTCAATTAAATTTGAGTAACTGTCCAAAACTAAACTTCCCAGGAGAGTTTTTCTATACCAGTCTTGCTGGGTGATAATTGTTGCTAATCTAATTCCTAAGGAATGGTGCGACATTTTTCAACATTGGCAATAAAAACAGAATAACTCTCTCAAAAGGGGTGGGGGAAAGCGGGAAGATTTGGAGTCCACGAATTTTCTTTGGGAAAGAAAACTATTCAAATGGAAGTGGTTGGTTTTTACTGTAGCAAACACTAAAAGAAAAAAGAACAAAACTGGGAAAGATTTTTAAAAACTAGAAAAGTAGAAATCTGTTGTAACTACCATTTGGTTTTGGGAGGAATGAAATGAGATATTTGTGAAAATGTTTTGCAAATTGCAAACATGATGTGAAAACAATTGTTTCCATTGGGCTTGTTTTGTAGTTTGAATTATTGGCCCATGGGCCCAGCTGCCTGTATTTCTACAGCTTCGTACTGGAAGTTCTGGGATTCCCAGGGTCCCTAGGGGTCTGTTGGGTGT